TCTGGAGAAGGGCTGGGCTGGGTTGCTGTCACAGTACATCAATATAAGCCCTTTCGGAAACCTCTGAACACACTTTTAATTGGTAGCTTAAGGTCACAGTTTCCTGGCTTCCACTTCAGCAACAAGAACACCATGCCACCCCATCCAAACTTAAGAACATGGGCCCCCAGGGTCGACAATTGTTGATCTCACTTTGTTTGTGCTGAGGAAGCCAAAGAGTGCACACAAAATGCAGAGGGGCGATGGTTCACGTTCAAGCTGGACTTGGGCACGCACATCATCCTCGAGAAAAAGGCGATCCCAAACCACCTGCAGTCGTTGGAATGCTTGGACGTGCCAGCTACAGTGGAGCAAGTGCTCAAAGAGTTGGAAGACGGAGGGGAAGCAACTTGTCTCAATGTCAAGTAGTAGCTGTTATAGTCATTTGCCGTTGAAACATCAAATAAGATCAGCACTTTGAGATACCTTCTTCCGTTTGTCTTCGTGAGGTCAAAGTTGAGCTATCACATCATGCCATCAAAGATGGCGAGATCAGCAGTGTCAAAGACATTGTCTTTGTGATGGATGACATTTCTGAGCCTGAGCCCCAAAACAAAAAGAAGAAGAAAGACAAGGATGCGCCCATGGAGGCTTCGGTCAAAGGCTTTGGGGCTTACTTGGATGTGTCAAAGTTCAAGGCATGCCCACACTTTATAGTGGCATGGCGCTGCCGCCTGGAATCGGCCTCTGGCGGTGTCATGAAGCTGATGCCACTGCGGCCTGTGGCATGCCTGAGCGGGATGATCGATGTGGACGCGCAGTCCATGCGTTTGATGTGACAGCTGCATAGCATACATGGCCTGCCAAACAGTGACTGGTAGGAAAAACAACATGGCTTTATGTTACTGTCAAACATCAATAAACAATAGCAGCCAATTCAAAGCTCAATGGTCGTCTCCACTATTGCAGCTGTCTTGGGTAGCTTACATTCGCAGAATGTATGGCTGTTTCGATCTCTAGCCTAGCTGAGTGCACATGGCACATTGAAAAATTGCCTTAGGGAGCCCTCAGCTTTTGACATTGGGTGTATCAGCAATCTTGCTACGCTCGGAACCCTCAACTTGAGCCCTCAAATCTATATAACATAACATAATATATAATGGATGTCAACGGATACCTAATACCAATGGTCCTCAAATCTCACATGATCTGATGTGAACTTTGTTTGGATACCTTGACACCAAACGAGCGTGGCAAGATGCTACAGTGGATCCGTGGCAAAGAGCCGACGAATCGATTCGGCATTGATCCTGGTTGGGCGCCACCATGAGCGCACATTCTGGGCCCTCTGAAGAAAAATGCACTTCAAACAGTCATTCACTGCGTTGAAATATCAGAACGGTACATTCTGCAGTACATTCTGCATTGCGTTGTGCAGCATGATTGCAATGGCTTGCGTGTGGTTGCAGCAACATCTTTTGGCTGGGATTTGGGTAGTCCTTCAACATCTTTTAGCAATCATGGCAGGGTCAGACTCCGAAAGCTGCCAAGAAGTTCCTTTGACTGCCTGTTTGCGTGCCCCAGCCACTTGTTGCAAATATCTTGAATGATCTTGAATGAATCTGCATTGTTGGGTTGCCTGTTTGGGGCACTGAATGTGGATCTTCTGAGCTAAGGCCTTTGATCCCAATTCTTTGCTAAAAGGGTCTACGACTACAGCTTCACCGGCCCCACGGATGACCAGGACACCTTCATCTGCAAAAGCGATTGCCGGACCTGGAGCACAAGCAAGATCCTCGACATGCAGCTGCCCTAAATTTAATAGATGTGCTGTTTCTCTGCCCAACATTGGTACACCAACCAGAACCTTCAAGCAACCTGTCAATATTTAGCCTTTCAAATTCTGTCAGGCGCTCGCCCATCGGATCATGAATCTGGAGAACACAAACTCCCCAAGCGTGTCTCGAGTTCCACGGAGGAAGAGGAGGGTGACCGCACCAAGTCCAAGGGCAAGTCTACCAAGAACACTGGTCCGAAAAAGAAGGCCGCAAAAAACACAGATGCTGAGCATGTTCCCCTCCAAGGAGGGAAGGGACCTAAAGAAGATGGTGATTCAGAAGGTGAAGCTGCCGGTGCTCCCAAGAAACGGCCTGCAAAGGCAAAGGCTGGGCCTGCACCACCCAGGAAGAAGCCTGCATCCGTGGCCAACAACAAGGATGACAAATCCGCTGATCCGGGGTCAGAGGCAGGCCTGCTTCCAGCTCAATCTCACCATTAGCCTCTTTTGGGTCAAGAAAAACAGAACTATCTACTAAGATCTACTAAGTATCTACTATATATACTAATATATGTCCCTGTTAATGGTCTTTTCCTGCCAGGAACCATTGCCTTTCCAGCACATGATTGAGGAGAAGTTCAATGGCCCCAAGATTGACCAGTGGGAAACAGTTGAACACCTTGCACTTGAAATTGGTACATTGGATGCGGAGATGACCCCCGGCCGCGAGATTGACACATTGATGCTTGATTCTTACCCTGACGTTGAAGAATCTGAGCTGTTTGGGTCGTGCCTTGTCAATGTATATTAGATTGGACATGGTTTGCAAGTCACTGTGCCTTGAGGTGGTTGGCATCCCATTGAGCTTTGCCTGAGCGGGGTCGGCGCTGCTTGTCCAAGGCCGGCTGATGGTGATTCTCTACGACTACGAAGAATGGATCATCATCTAGAGCCTGAAGATCCTGACAATCAACTGGGGCTGTTTGCAACCTATCTAAATTAGATTGAAACATCCTAACTTGCAAAAACCTCAACACCCAGTTGCCAGTCAGGTCAGTGTACTGTGCACTCAACAAGTTGAAGTCCTTGATGTCCTTTGATCTCACTCAGGACGATGCAGCTTCAGTGCTTCCACCATCAAAGGCAAATCCTTCCTCAGCAAACAAGACATCAAAACATTGTTGCAAGTTGCAAATCGTGAAACGGTCTGCTGACAAATCTGCATTCTATATTTAGCTCTGTGAGGCTGCCCATCATGAAGTGGAAACCCAGATCGATGAACCTGATGAGTCTATGGCTATGGGTTCCGAAGAGCCTATGCGTTCCGTGGAGGTCAATGACTTTTTCTGTTGCTTGTGTTGAAGCTGTAGCTTTGAGTTGCATGCATGGGGACAATGTTTATTATTCTCTCTGATTCTTTGCCTCTTCGTAGGAGCATGCATGCTGCATTGTCCCTGTGGAGCTTGTGAACAGCATCAAGCAGTCAGTGGAGAACTGCCTGGAGGTTGAGGAGAATCTCGCCAAGCTGGAGGGATCGAATCAGGCCCTGCTGGATAGCCTTGAGGCCAAGACCGGTGATCCACCAGCTGAAGCCAAAGCTCCTCCGAGCTCTCCCTCGTTCCGTGAGCTCCAGAACCTGTTCAAGAGGGCAAATGAGCTGGAAGCAAAGGGGGAGGAGGATGACAAGGTCATGCAAGGGCTCCTCGACAGGTGCTCCTTCCTCGAACGTGTGGTCAACAAGAGGGTGCAAGCGGAGCTGAAGGAGACCAGGGTTAGCGCAGCAGCCAAGAAGCACCGCGAGAATGCAGGTCGCAAGGCAAAAGCCCGTGCAGCGCCCAAAGCAAAGCAGGCACCAAAGAGTGCAGGGAAGGCGAAAGCAAAGGCAAAGGCTCGGGCTAAAGCAGCCAGCAAGCCAGGAGGCCGCAGGAATGATGAGACTTCAAAGAAGCTTCACTCCGCCTCTTGCCTTCAAACCGTTCAATAATTATGATGATGATTAAAGCATTGCATATTAATCATATATATGATCTTGAAGTTGGAAATCGCAATCCAGCTTCGATTCATCTCAGGTTTACTGCAAGTATTGGAAGGAAGCTGCGCTTGAGGGCCTGCAGGGTGAGGAGCGGCGCTTGAAGGCCTGCGATGGTCGCCGCAAGTGGCTGGGCTGATTGGTGGCCTGTGTCTAGTTGTATGATGAGTGAGTGAGTGAGGGAGGGAGGGAGTGAGTGAGTGGGTGGGTTGGGAGTGAGTGTCAAACCTCTGCACAGGTTGCATTCTTTAAACATGCACATCGAACCCTTTACTATCTCAGGTGGATCTTGGAGAACTTGCCCAATGATCCTGTGGCCAAGAAGTTTCTGTAGATCCTTGCCAAAGTGCATCCAAGTCTCTGCGTGTTCTTAGGCGCACAGAGCGAATCTTGAGAAGGGGAAAAGGCGGCGGATTGGACGGTGGTGTGGCATGACCATGACATGTTTGAGGACCCAGTCTCACATGACAAAGGACCCAGTTGGAGCTGGATTGGATTACTAGTAGCTGACCAGCAGCACCAGCAGCAGAACAGAAGCAGAAGCAGCAGGCCAGTAGCTGACCAGCAAACCAGCAGCAGAACATGCTGCGAACATCTATAAGGCACTGCCCAAGGCAACCTGTAAGCATGCTTCCGGAAAAGAAAAAACACGTGTCAAACTTAACCAAGCAAAAGGATCTCTTTTCAGACACCTTCGCTTCAAGACTCCTTCATGGGATAACGTAACCAGTCAGGGATGACACCTGCATCATCTGTCAGGAGGTCAAGAAGTTGCGTTTTGGGGGAGAAACTCACCCGCCGAACAGCGGAGGCAAAGCGCCTCCTCAGCGGGATTTACTAGGGTTGGGGGGCCGGCATGGCCCCGCCTTAGCGTGAAAGATCAAGCTTTCAGGCACATACCTCATCCCAAGACCAAGACTGCGAAAGAGAAGAACTCAGCTAGCGGCAGCTAGCGCGCTAGCTTTGATAATCAGTGTTGTCTATACAATTTAAATCAATTTAAGAAGGCAATCTTCATATTGCAACAGTTGGCAGTGGTCAGTCAGTATGTTTTTCCACACACATTTAAAACGACTCAATCCCGCCCTCACCAAAACAACAAGCACGCTATCTCTGGGAAAACATATCGCCGCAAACATAGCTGGCCTCGAACCTCTTATGTAGCCAAATTGGACTTCCTATATCCCGGACCAGCATATTGATGGACCGAGGAACATCCTTAATGTCCTCGTCAGCCTCCTTGTCTTCATTGGCTGGTAGCAAGTAACCATCCTTCAAAACACTTTGCTCATGCAGGGCGAGGCTGACAGCTCCTCAGTGACCAACTTCGGAAGAAGGTCGAAGTGGTAAGTGGATAAGAACATCAACATAAACGACTGGGGTGAAGAGATTAATATACCAATCATCTCTTTGGGGGATCTGGGTGTCAATGTCAACAAATTCGATTTCTATCGTAGTTGTCAACCCAGTTGATCGTTTTAAGTGTTAAATCAATGTCAACTGGACTTCGATGGATGTCCACACCGAACATGTAGTTGCTTGGGGTGGTTTGGGTTTTCTGAGCTTGTCATGGTCACCACCAAACTCGGCACAAAGGGGACCTCCCTTCGATCCTGCCCCTCCAAAAAACCACCACAAAAAACACGTTCTGGAGCAACCCAGGCTCTTACACCCACATTGACTCCCTGCCTCTTGCGATCACGCATGGCCGGAGTCGGACTGTCCGCCGCTCCGGAGTCGGACTGTCCAGAGTCGTCGTCGGATTCCTGGGAGACGGTCGGCCGAGGAGTGTCTCATCGCCGGCGAAGTGTGGGACAGTCCCAAGTTTTTACAAATTGGGTATTCCAGGCCTTTCTCACAAAATGCTAATATCATTTGACAATTGGGCATATCCCATTCACTGTAACGGTGGATGATGGTTAGTAAAGGGCCTGTCTCAATCAGTGATAGTCATAGTCATTCATCGACTGTTACGGGCAATGGGACACACCCTCATATATACACAGATTCCTGACTTGGAAGTATATAATGCATTCTTTTGCTACCGGAAGCGCAAACAACTCTGAAATCGCCCCTCACCTGCATGATCAAACAAGGAAAGCAAAAGAACCAGCTCTCTCTCCGTTTACGAGAACCAGCTCTCTCCCGTCTCCGCGTTAATTCCAATAGCCTGGACCTGGCCACTGGAGCCCCGGGACGAGTCCGTGTCATGGACAAAGGGAGGACCTGAGGACATGGGATGGGTGTGTAGCTCAAAATAGAGAGGCCGACCTCCTGCAACGTCCAAATTGTTGGAGGGTTTGGGAAACCGACCAGTCTACCATAGTCTACCCATCGGTTGTGGGTCTCCCTTTTAACATGCACACCCATATGGTCTTCAATGTCTCCATGCTGCTTGTGCTGCAAGCGGTGGTTTCAGCTCATGGATCGAGCTCAAAAGACAAGTCGGTTAGTGAAAAATCCTCCCAAGTAAAGCTTGAAAACACACAAATCCGAAACCACCTCCTAGAATGCCAAGCCAGGGAGATGGCGTCCAGTACCTTTGTTCCAACCTGGCCCACTGATGGTCGCAAAAAAGGCCAATGCCGGGTTTCGTCATCCTCGCTGGTCTCTTCACTGCTCTCGTCGCTGAGCGCACTTGGCACACTGTGCACACTGCTTCTGGATGACATGGCTCACATGCAAGCGGCCAGCCACACTGCTAGCTGACCGCCATTGCACCCATGGAGAAAGAAAAACACACGAAATGAAAGGACCAGTGGTGAGTGTCTGCTACTTAGTCGGATATGCATGATTTATGTTCATTCGGTCCTTCATGTCCAAAGATCCCACCTGATGCGCATCGATGCGCTCATTCATCCGCTCCTCATCGAGCCGCTCCGAGGGCCTTCTGCTTTGCAGAAGGTCTCAAGGAGCGGAAGAAGGTATCTGCCCTGAGAACGTCAAACCATTTAGTGTCCCTATGCAACCTGGAACAAGAGGACTCACTGAAAGTAACTCCGCAACCTATAGGTCCTTCTGTGGTGTTATCAGCTGGCATCTCAAAAAAACATCTGGTACCCCCTTCGGAAACAGCTAGATGGGGTTGCTTGGAAGAGACTGCGTGAGCAAGTACTAATCTTCCAAACTTCTGTCCAAGTTTGATACTTTTACCTGAGCTCCGAGCCTGACACTTTAAATTTAGCTTCCTTGACTGCATGTGTGTTTCTTGTGAACCATCCTTTTCCCTCTGGGGCGGGTCATCTGCGGTGCCGGATGACTTCTACTTTTGATGAGACTCCAGTAATGATACTGCATAGGTCAGAAAGTTGCTGCTGCTGATGATGATGTACAGATCAGGGCCGGAGTTTGAGAACACAAAGTGCCCTCAGCCCTACGGAGAAGGCCCAATAGTCATCCCCTCTCTCTTGCTCCCCAAACTTGGGCAGTTTTCTCGCGAGCGAGGGAGCGAACGCGCTTTTGATCATGGGACGTTCCCATGAGAACGATGTGGCTTTCACCACCCAAACATTTGGTGATATGAAATCTTTACCTACATTGACGCCTTTACAATCACCCCAATGTGAAATTAAAGGTTACAACTTACAGTACTTCTTTTATATGCCAAGCATGGAGTGTCTGGGCAATTTCAGGCCAATGGTGATTTCAAACAACTTCCACAAGCTTCTCCCTTTCCCGTTTGAACTGGAGAAATTCTCAGGCCCAAACGTTGGAATGAATGACCGGTTGGTGCCTTTTTGGGGATGGATCGCGATGTGGGACCCCTCCCAGCCGCAGGGAGACAAGAGGCGAATTCCACCTCATCCAACCTTGGAGTTGCTATGAGTGGCTTGAGGAACCTCGACAAAAGAAATCATATTGCCCAGGTTTGGAGGATTTCAGCAGTGCGGGAAAATACCAGAAAATCAACTGATCCGCAAAACCAGGCAACTCTTCCAACTCTTCCAACTCCTCGCCCTTCTCGGCTTCCTCGAGCGCCCGCACTGCCCGTGCCCGGCACCTCCTCGTGTGCTTCGCCGCCTTTACCTCAGCATGTTCGCTAGCGGAGCTGGTCAGTCGTCACAGCAGGCTGATGTCGGAGCTTCACCGGCCGACGGCCGACAGGACTTAGACGGGCAAAGAAATGACATACAAGCAACTGGATGCTTATTTTTGGGATGCTATGGGTGGGCCCAAGATTTTCATCCATCTTCTTTGGCAACGGCAGGCACGGCAGGCCTTGCAGGCAGGCGCAACGTGGTTTTGTTTGGTTCGGACGCACCTGCACCGGACTCCCCAAAGATGCCTTGAACACGGCTACTACTCTGGCGTGGTTCTGTCACATAAATTGACCAAAAAGATTGAAAAAGTAGATTTCGTGGCGGGCAGTTTGCATGCAGATTTGGTGGTGCTGGAGGCGGGTGTGTGTTCGCGCCTCCCCTCCAATGGTGTTCGTTTCGGTTGTTTCGGAGACCAGGACCACGCAGGACCACAACACGGACCGTTCGCCGCGGCCCGTGGAATCTTGTAGACTTTGTCTTCTGGTCTTCCTTTTCTTCTGTCCTTCCCTCTGTTCTTTCATTGTTTCTTGTTGCCCTTTCTGCATCTTTCTGCTTTGTTCATTGATGCCTCTCTTTGCTGGAAACATAGAGCCAGCGAGTGATGACAGCTGTGTTTCTTTTGGGCTTGGGGAATGGAAATGGGCCACCACATGGGCAATGGGTGATTTCACGAAATCAGAAAACCCATGGACCAATGGATGGAATCATATGGAATCTATTGACCGGAATCGGAATCGCCGAGGCCTTTTGTGTCAACGACCCAAGTTGATTTGATCCTCAACAGGTTCCGTGCGGTTCCTGGTGCCTCCAAGTTGTGCGTAAGCTTTGCCCAGAGCTGTTGACGAATCCCAGACCATCCATGTATGAACGTCATATCAACCTCACATCGTGCTAAACGTTACACACACACATCATTTACCCCATCGGCTTTCAGTACGTCGATGGTCTGGCTCTCTGAGAATGATCGCCAAAGGACACAAAAACACTCCCCCCGCTCGACTGAAACACACCTGGACACCCCTTTGGTACACATTAATGTGTCCACTTGGTGGTCTGCTACCTGATATCTTTGTTCGTGCACAAACTTGGAAATCGATCACATTTGTGGGAAACGTGCACTTTTTGGTGTGAGGGCCCAATTCGAGCACTTTTTGTGGAATCAACAGTTCAGTCATTTTTCAGAGGGTTTGGTGATGTTTTGACAGTTTTTATCATCGAGTGTGCAGAATGGCTCGCGCAAGCCGCTTTTGCAGCCTTGGAGGGGTTCAAGGCACGTGGGTCGTTTTCTCCTGTCCTCGGAGATTATGTTCCAAGGACTCAGCAATGTGTGCTTTCAGAGAAGTTTATTTTTTGCTGATTTTGTATTGCACCCATGAACCAACCCCTAGCAGGACTGAAGTGGATGCCTGTGACCAGAGCTGGGTTTCTCAAGATCTTTTTCAGAAAGGCCACCTCTTTACACTTTTGTGTTTTTTACATGCGCATGCTTGATTTGCAGAGGATCTTTGATGCCAAGTGCCCCTGTGTTAGATGTTTTCTGTGAGTTTTGCCCCGGCATGATGGCATGGTTCTGAAGATCCAATGTCATGCTGTTGCATCCTTTGATGATGCAGTTCCTGCCCAAGCCGTGTTTACGCCAATCCTTGGACAATGGCCACCTTTGAGCAGGCTTCTCACCTAGCGGCCAGCTGGAATAGCCGGCCTGACCTGAAGCTTGCTGGTCTGAACCAGTGTTTGTGCACAATGGGAATCCAGAAGGAGAAGAAGACCACCAAGATCACCCGTGGACCTTCGCCTGTAAACAGTTGACATTATAGAATTACTGTAGCATAGTATCCACGTTAGTGCCATACCATGACTAGTCGAGCCAATTGCAAGCCTTTCAGGTGTGATCAAGCAGAACAAGCACGCCCTGGGTCTGACTCTGAAACACCTTGGAATGAGACCATCATTGTCTTCCTTGGAACACGCCGTTGAAATGTTCTTCCGCATGTGTTGCCCACGTGGGGAGGAGGTCAATGGACACTCGGCTTGATGGCCACGATCAATTAACACAATTAAGCCACGTGTTTTTTCGATCACTTCGGTTTTTGCTGCAGCCAGGAAACCGCGTAAAGCTCCACGCAAAGCCTTTGAGAAAGTTAGTATCAGCATTTTCTCGAGTTGCAAAGCTACTCATTTGCAAGAAGCAGCATTTGTTGTGGAAACTCGCAAACAGCATTGCAGTGTGGAATCATTTATTCTTTGCCGGGCCAGGCGCCCACATGTGCCACGATGTGAACAGATCCGTGCCATCTACAAGTATGCAGGGCTCAAAGTCCCAACCAACAGTCAAGGCGAGCAGTGTCATTTAGTACGAGTTCTTTTCAGCTCCTTTTTGCAGATCCCCAGAGCAGCTCCTCATCCTCCTCGGGATCTGACTTGTCGGACTCAGAGTCTGAGGGGGTTTGTAGCTCAGATCCTGGAGTTGATAAAAGGTTACAAGAATTATCACAGAATGATCATTCTTATAAGCAGCTAGCCAAGGAGAGTGGCCGAGCTGCGTCTTCAAAAGGCTCCGGAGGTGGGTCTGAATAGTTTTGCAAGTGTGACTGACTGAATTCCTTTAAACACACTGTTGATGGTCCCAAGTTGTTTTCATGCAATTTGTGTACGATAGATCATGTTGATCAGTCAAGTACGGTAGGCTCAACAATCCACACTCCTGCTGCTGCTCCTCCTGCTCCTGAAGCAGGCATTCATGGTCTCTTCTTCAAGGGAAGCTTTTCAGTTATACACTGTTTGTTCACAGGCCTCGGCACCGAGCTGACACCAGAGAAGGTGGCAATGCGCACCTTGCCCACATTAGCAATCAAGCCTAGAGTCCAGTGCCTGTTGAAATCTGATCGGCAATCCTCCGATTTCTTTCCGCCCCGTGGAAGGAAATCAATTGCAAAAGGAGCTGGAACAACTAGAAGCTTTGTATGAGCTGAAGCTTGCGCAAGAGAGGGAGAAGTCATGGAAAAGGGAGCTAGAGGCGTGTGAGAAAGCTGCTGCGGCAAGGATTGCTGAGATCGAGGCTGCTGCCAAGAAAGGCTCAGAGGTCTTGGAGGTCGCAAACAGCATTGTGTCAGCCATGAAGGCTGATGCAAGGAAAGCTGACAAAAAGCTTTCAGAGGCTGACGTGGAGACAGCAGCTGTGATGGTGGACGCTGCTCACAAAGCTTCCAAGAACGAAGCTGAAATGTGTGAGGCCAAGATGGAAGCCCAAAGAGCTTTGGACTTGGAAGCTGCCCGCAAAGCTTCAGAGATGGAAGCCAGCAAAGCTTTGGAGTTGGAAGCTGCCCGCAAAGCTTCTGAGATGGAAGCCCAAAGGGCTTTGGAGCTGGAAGCTGCCCG